CAAGCTATTCTTTTTTAATTGTTTCAGTAACCATATTGTTGTTCTAAATTTACCTCTATAATAGGTTTGAAAAGCTATGCAACTTCAAAATGAATGAGTTTTTGTCTCTCTAATCTCCAATTTATCAATTAATTCTTTATAGCGGAATTTATTTTTTTTTGATAAATAAGCTAAAAGTCGTTGTCGTTTCCCCAAAATTTTACGTAAACCTTTTTGAGATAAATAGTCTTTTTTGTGCAATTTCAAGTGGGAAGTAAGCCGGTGTATTCTATTGGTGAAATTCCATACTTGAAATTCAACGGAACCTCTGTTTTTGTAAGTTTTTTATCATAAACTAAATGAACCTCCCTTCATTGATATATAATATGCATTTAAAATAATTTTTTATAATTAAGTTCTAGATTCATTTCATAGATATGAAATAATTGATTAGTAACTAAAAACGAACGAACAAAAAATAAAGAAAAAAAGGATAATATTATTTACTTTTATTCTATATTATAGAATAAATCAACTTGACAGAAATGAGTCCAATGTTTTCTTATTTTTTTTGTAAAAAAAACTTTGAAACTTACCCGTTAAAAGAGATTTTGCTAATGAAAGAGCTTTTAATCTTACCTCAATAGTCTTTCTTTTCCAAATGTTCTTACGAATACGCTTTTTGGCTTTCGAAATACGTTTTTTTGGAACTGCCATTTCAAATGATTTACAGGTTATCACTGGATGTGAAAGACATTTATTGCTAAAAAGGAATTCTTCTAACTAAGTCTATCAATTCAAATCAAAAGAAAACCCTTTCTTTTAGGGTTCATTAATAAAAATCAAAGTGAATTTTTTCAACTTAATATTCTTTTAATGAGGTACAATATATCTATATAGATCTAGATAGATATATGGTATCCTCAATTCAGTTAGATCCAAATTAAAATGAGGTATAAAATAGGGTATGTGTCCATATTGGTTTTTCATCTAACCTGCTACCATCTACCCTGCTACAGGGTAGATAGTACTACTATCAATTAAATTTCCACCAATTTAAATTCAATGGTAAAATACATATGGATCCTTAACATACTGAAACGACTCCCATTATTAGTATAAAACCAATAACGATTCATACAAGCTAAATCTTCCAATCGATAATTAGGCCAAAGAAAAAATTCAATTAATTTATTTTGATCCTTAGGCCCAGGGTTGCTTTCTTCCCAAACTTTATTTTTGTTGGAAACTAGAGAATTTTGCATCCACGCCATTCCATTTGTGTGAATTGAAACAAATTAGAGTTTCTTAATTCTCTACGACGCCTAGATGATAAAATATTTTCAATAAGAAGCGGATCACAATTATTGTTCTCTCGAGCGCGAATTATTCTTTGTTTTACGTCTTCTTTATTAAGAATTTGTTTACTCTATGAACCAACGAAATAACTATCGTTTCATACATAAGAAATTCTCCATTTGTTTGATAGACAGCGGAAGGGGGTCGACCAAAAATCCCGTCTTTTTTAAAATTCTGGAACACTCTCTTTTGAATCTGGAACACTCTCTTTTGAATCTGGAACATTTCTTTTGAATCTGGAACACTCTCTTTCTGATCCATCTGTGGCATTAGACCCAAATTTAACTTTTCCCTTAGAATCCATGATAGCATCATTTTTTTTCGATTTATCATTCTAAGCAAGAGACAATAGATTTGGAGATCTTGGAAAAGGCCTTGATTTAAAGTAAAATCCTCTCTAAATTGAAAAAATAAATAGTTTTTCATGAATAACTCTAGTTCTATCTCAGTTTGACTTTTCTTTTCACCTTCAGTTTCACCTTCAGTTTCGCCTTTGGTTTCACCTTCAGGTTTACCTTTGGTTTCACCTTCAGGTTTACCTTTGGTTTCACCTTCAGGTTTACCTTTGGTTTCACCCTGAGTTTCACCTTTGGTTTGACCCTCAGGTTCACTTTTGGTTTGACCCTCGGCTTTATCTTTTTTTTTACTCTCAGTTTTATCTTTTTTATCTTTCTGAGTTTTACCGGTCTTTTGACTTGTCATTTCATTAAGATTCAAATTTGAAATAAGTGATTCGCTTGGTATAATCCATGGTTTCAGTTTATATAAATTAACAAACCACACAAATTCTGGGAAAACCAAAAGTTCCTCAGCCGTTAATGGACGGTCGAGTATTTCTTCATTCAGTCCCATCCAATCCAATAAAGAATTTCTAGAATGGAGTCGATTCATTTCGGTATTTTTCTGAATCAAAAGAGCAAAAGGATCTTTTTCGTTTTTAAAAATTTGCTCAATTTTCAAAATTTCTTCCATTTTATCAATTAATTGATAATTGTAAGTGAAAATTGGAGTATTTTGAGTATTGTTATAATTACCCGTGATCCAGGACTCAATATTCGCTTTTTTTTTAAGAGAAAAATCAATATTTTTCCAATTCAAATATTTTCTATCGACATCTTTTTTTGGATATGGAATATTTAACCTTTCTATTTTTCCTCTGAAACTAGTGATAGGAATATTTTTCGTTATCGCAAACAAGTTGTTTTGTGACATCTTGTAATGATAAGAAATTGCTTCCCGTTTAGCTCCTGGAGGGGTTCCACTATTTTTTTCATACTGAATGTATTGATATGCTAAAAGATCATATCGATAGCATTTTTTTAAATTATCTTTTGTTTTTTTATTCAAGACTGAGTTAGCATCCTTTTGTTTCCTGTAAGTATTTAATTTTAATTTTTTACCGGAAGTCCTTTTGTCTAAATATTTTTGTTTAGACCTACGATAGCGATTCGCCCTATTTCTCCATTTTTGGTTTTTGTGATCTTAAGGCAGACCCAGAAATTAGGAGATAAATCGTAGTGAGAATTCCCTTTTAACCAAAATTTCCATTGACTCGTTCTAGGCCGCTTAAGTTGTTTTTTTATTCCTTCAGATGGAAGTATTCCTTGTGTATGAAATGAGTCTTTTATTTTCTTTTTAATCAAGAAAGATGTTCCATTTTGTTGAAGAACAGATATGAAATTACGTACGTTCAAAAAACCCCTTTCTGATATTTTTGTACAATACATATGCTTGTGACAAGTTGGATAAATCACCAAAACTCTCTGAATTTTCCTTATAAAGCTTATTATTATGCGTTTTTATATTTGAATTTGAAAGAGAGTTCATTTTTGTTGATTCCACAAAGACTTTTTGAGTCATTTGGCAAATAGATATAGTATATAAAAAAATACAATTAGATATTCTTTGAATAAATAATTTTATAAAATAATTAAATTTATATATTAATCTATTTTTTTTTTTTTTTCAACATTTGACAAAAATTTTTTGACAAGGCTAATCTCGAACTTTTTTTGTAAGGGTTCATATCAAGTTCTAGAGTGACCCTTTTCTTATCTTCCGTAATTCTTTCTAGTTTTTTTTTAATTGTACTTGTCCTATGAGTGATAGCCTGCATTTTGTCTATCGGTGAATAATTTTTCCAATCTGTAATTTTTTCAATTTTACTCAAGGGTTGATTCATTATCTGGTTATTTATTAGATCATCTTTTTCATTTTTTATTACACTCGGGTGTATTGTTCTTGTTTCTTTTGAACTTGTGTTTTTTTTTGAAAACTTTTTTAAAAATTTAATTTTTACTTTTACAAATTTGTAAAGTTCCTTAAAAACAGGCTTAAAAAACGAAGGTTTTTGTCGTGGATGACCAAAAGGGTGTTCTGTTTCCCTTCCCCAAACTGTTAAAAAACAAAAGTCATCACGAGAATTTAGCGATTTTATATTCGTGCCAAGGTTTGAGACAGAAAGGAAATAAAATTTTGATTTGAATACCTTCTGTCAACCAATTTTCCGGAAATTTTTTGTCAGCTAACGGAATACCATTATAAGTACACTTCACATGCGTTTCTCTATTCCATCCCTTTAAATCTTCAGACCATTCAGGAGTTTGAAATAGTAGCATACGCCCGATATTTTTACCGATTATGAATGAAGGTAATAGAATCTTTTTTCTGAGAATTGATTGGGTTATTAATAAAAAACCTCTTATTATTTGGGTATATGGAAAAGTCTCCCAGGCTTCCCCTATCTCTAACCGTTCTATTTCCTCTCGTCGTTTTTTTTCCTTTTTGGTTTCTCTTTTTATTATTATTTTTTTTTCCTCTGTAGATTCTAAAATCCCAAACTCTTTTATGGATGACCATTTTCTAAAAAGCCGTTTCAGTTGAGCCAGGTATGGTAGAGAAAAAAAGGTTTTTTTCCTCATCCTGTCAAAAAAAAGAGGGGAATGCGCATTTGCTTTAAAAAGTCCCTCAATAACTATTTTACGTCTTTGAGTTCGCATAGAGTCTTTTATTAAGCCTTGGCGAAAATCAGATTGGTGCGGATATCGTAATAAAAAAAGCTTATTATCCTCATCTTCCTTTTTCTTTTTAATATTTTTATCTTTCTCATTATCGTCGGATTTTATAGCTTGAATATTTGTATCTTTTGTATTCTTATCTTTGTTTGTAGTCTTATCTTTGAGAGTCTTAGGTTCTTCAAAAATTAATACACTGATCCCTTTTCTTGAACGAATATCATGATCATCTGGTGGATTTGTAAAATACGATATTTGTTCCAATTCAGTTATTAATTTGTATGACCATCGGGGGACTTTTTTACCAATTTCTTCTTTACCTATTTTTTCTATTGCAGAAGATTTTTTATCGTCTGTCTCAATTGCATTTACTAAAAATTTTGTTAGTTGTTCTGAATCCGTTAAATTGAAACTTGATGATAAAGTTGAGAACTCACCAACTTGTAATGGTTTTTTTTCCTTTTTTTCAAAAGTAGACATCAACAATAAAGCATGAAGTCTATTTAGCATAACCTTCTCTCTCAACTTTTTGATCGAAGTATCGTTTATCGACGTGATATCTTTTTTTTATTCTTCCGCGGGAAGGCCCATTTAACAAGGGATCATACTTTTCTGGTAAGTATTCTTTTCTAGTCTCATCATTGTGTA